ATTTGCTATATGCGATACACACTTTACCCTTTCATCCCCAACTCTTTTCTAGGATCCCAGGATAATTTTATGGAAAATTCAGAGCAACAATAGTATATTTCAAGACAGAATTTATTTTCACTACAGACCATCCAGCAACAGATTTGAAGGAATTTCTGGATCCTCAAAATTTCAAAGTGGCTAAATTAAAAAACAAGAAACATGCAAAATGAATTTGCAAAAGTGTTCATGCAAAATGCTTCAACAAAAATTTCCACCAAATTCCGCTAATTCCAATTAGCATGCAGAACTATAGATATCACCAATCATAACATTATCCAGACTTAAAAGACACAGCTACGGCATTTGATCGACTGCCAGAACTTTTGAATTTGGAAACCAAACACAGGCAGCAACAGCTTCATGGCTTTGGAGTTTAAAAAATAAAGCAAATTCTGGAGGCCAGCAGCCGCCTAAGCAAACTATGTGTGTCCTACAAAAAAATTCAGCATTGCTACCAAATATAATTGCCAAATGCGCCAAAAGGGGTCAACCACAGTAGTAAGGCTCCAGGCAGCAATTATTTTTGTGTGTACTGAAAAATAAATATAAAAAGCAACACTAAAATATGCAATGAAGGCGGAGTGGAAAGGCAGTACATGGAAGAAAGCTAACTATTTTTAAATATACGCAATCACAGCCTACCTTTTTAGACCCAACAACAAACTCACAGGGCAGTATGAGAGAAGAAGATTAAAAAAAAGAAAGGAACAAAAAAAAATTAGAAAGACAGAGAACAGAAAGAAAATTAACAGCCACATACACATACTGAGATACCACAAACTTTGATAAATCAGTGAATAAATCCCATCTACGATACTGTGTAGAGAAAGACACATCTATAAATAGAGCCCTACTTTCTCATCACTCAATAGTATTAAATGGATGCCTTACCAGTATTAAAAAAGAAAGAACCTAAGACACAAACTGACGTGAACAACATTAAAATGAGCTTATCCAAGCAGATTTATAATCATACATGAGTATGTTTATTTTTTTAGCTGAAAACAGAAATAAGATAGAAAAATTAAACAAATGGGATTTCTGGTATTTCTGGCAAGTATGTTTCCTAGTTTCAAGTTTGTAGGACCTTTGTATCATCATGAGAACATGCATTTCCATTCTTTTCAGTCTCCCTGCCCCTACAAATAACTATCAAGTGCAACTGATTTTAGAAACTTTTTCAATTATCTTCAGCAGCCCTGTGACCACATAAAAATTTTACCTAATTTACAGATGAAGAAACAAAGAAAAAATAACAGATTTGCCAAGATCACCTACTGGCTGAGTGCTCTATGAATTAAACCAAGGTCAGACTCCCAGTCCGACAACTCCTATTTAACAGAACAGTCTTTCTTCAAAACTTCTTAGGACTTAATCCCACTATTTTTCATACATGAAGTTTTCTACCAGCCAAAAAAATTCTTCTACAGAAATAATGTAGTGGTTTTGTGTATATTGTCATCTCAGCACGAGTTCTGGGAATGTTCTCTCTTCTGCTCATTATAAAAGCAACTTGCTAAAGACAAAGATCAGCTCCACTTTTTCTGAGGATAATCTTACTTGAAATGCAGCATAATAATCCATCTTCCTAATTTATGAACTCTGCATCTTAAAAGAAGCCACTCATGTTGCAATTATTACGCAACCAAATTAATGCTAGCCTTACCTACTGGGTGAGAGAGATCAGTTCTATGTATCTAGTCCTGATCACAACAAAAGTATTAACCTTAATATTTTACAATAAACTGCTTGGAGAAAAGTCTCTTTTAAGATACAAAAAGAAGTTCAGTAGTTGTAACTAGTCTTCAAATCACGTGACCATGATTACTATGTCCCATGTAACTTCTTAACATATTTTCACTCAATATATCAACCCAGTTCATTAGCTCAAGGTTACAGCTGCGCTTTGCATCTAATGAGACCTTTGCTACAGACTGAAATTTAACTTCAATTTTAGAAGTTACAGGAAAAGATATGCTTATTTAGCCTAAGCAGACATCTGCAACTACAGCAGCAAAGACATATACTCTCTGTTATAAGCACAGAGGGTGTGCCTTCTCTTCCATCTATTTAATACAGAATATTTGTGCTTTTTAACCAGTTAGTTGCACACTGACTGGGAGGTCAGGATACATTATAGACAAAAAATTTTAACAAAAGGGATGGAGGGTTTATAAAAGACTAAGGGAACATTCTTTGCCTTTAACTCTTTAGAAACTTCCACCTATTCTAGAAAAGGCTGTTTCATTTGCCTCAGTATCTCAATAACACCTTTTTTTTTATTTCATTCTTTAAACTCATTATGCTGACAGACTCAAAACCAACAAAGTAGCAATAGTTATGCTACCAGATGTTCTCATATGCACTCCATGCATTCAGACAACCTTTACAACCTCTCCCTGAACAGAAATATACAACATTGCATCTTGCAAAAACAGAAACTGGACTCCATTGAAGAAGGTCCCTTCTAGCCCTGTATCTCCCGATTACGACTTAATGCAACGCCTTCCCCTTAATTAGGGAATCTGACACTGCAAAAGAGAACACGCTACAATAAAAACCTTTTATTGCACCCAAGCAGTAAAATGCAATATACTACCATTTCACATCTAAAGACTTAGACCTAAAAGTGTATGTTAGTTTAATAAACTGATCTTAGTTCAACCACATTTCATGGTCCTGAATTTCTGCTAAATAGAACACAGAAACAGAGATGCATCATGCTGCATGACAGGTGCCTAGAAGGGTCCCTGAGCGGAGAAGCTCAGGTCCACTACACAGATGCATTTCTAACTCAGTCAAGGACAACTCCTTTTCTGATGTTTACTTGGGATTACATACATTTCTCCTTTGTGTTACAAAACTCAAAAATATTTAAAAAAAAAAAGTCCAGGCATTTAGAGTATTTTCTTATTCATCCACACAAAATACTAAACTGAATATAAAGATCTTTGAATTCAGCTTGCTTATGCTATTCATATATAAATCCTAAGTTTTAAAACAATCAGAAGTACTAACTCCACAGGAAAATAAAGCTGAAACACTTTCTTAATACTGAACTGAAAGAGGAAAGATGAGAATATTTAACACCTTTCCTTTGAGCAGTTAAGTGCTGCAAACATTTAAAGTATATCCATTGATCTAGACTTACTGAAAAACTATTTGGTATTCAAACCACCCAGCAAGGTTGTGTGTATACCTGAACCAGTGATTAACCCTGTATAAACCCGTATGTTTACAGAACCAGGGTCATACACCTTCCATTTTGCAAAGAACTCAAGCATCACACTAAATCCATTTCAACTCTTTAGTGCAACAGCATAAAATACCTTCTTGGATATGTGTGGACAAACATACTGCCTGTTATTTCAGCTCCCCACCACTTCAGAACTTCACCAGAAATACTTAGCCACTAGCTACAACACAGCCACTGCTCATAAAGAAGTAATTTATGCAAGGAACTGACTTCCAAAGTACAATTTGGAAGCATGCTATTTAGAAGACACAATTGAACAGCATAATTAATTCTGATTTTCAGGTTCTTGGTCAAAACTCATAGTTTTCTTAGCTAACTGGAATAGGAAATCTCAGCCATCACGTTCAACCAAAATTCATCCAAACTGAGTAAAGCCAAGATTCTAAAAGGGCTCGTTTAGTCTACAAAAGTTTACCGCCCATGCAGAGTACAAAAAACAGTAACAAAATTATACCACTAATGAAAATTGAATAGTGCAGGGACTAACCAGAACACTGAAAGAGTAGCTCGAGTAGGGAACAACATTAGGTAAGCAAGTCAGAACGGAACAAGTTCAACTGGTCACCAGCAAAGAGGACGAGGAGCAGTGGAGAAAGGTACTGTTGGTCCTCCAGGCAACCAGAGATAATTTAAGGGAGGGCTTCAAACTAATTAGGAACTTAGAATACTTACTTCCAGTACATCACATTCTTATATAAAGATTCTAAGGCTAAGATTAATTACGCAGGCAGAGCTGATTAACATGATCAGAAGGCTTCGCAAACCTGCCTGGGCAGCTCTGGACAGCCCTGCCTGGATACCTCTGAGCTTTTACACACAATAACCATGGCTGGCACCCCTAGTAGAACAAGACTGACATGAAAGATACTATTCCCATGCATACTACGTATTTTGATGGGGCTTCCACACCTCTCTTTTTTCCAAGAGAAAAGATGGTTGCTTCCATCCTTTGGATTTGACTGCAAACAGCAGAATCAAACAGATTTTGCACCTGCCTGTAGCTAGCAAGCCAGAATTACTAATCCCTAATACAAGAACTATGTAACACTCAAATCTGAAAGCTGAGCATGCAAATGATTATGAAGGAAAGATGGGGAGTGCGGGTGGGGAATCAAAACCTATAACATACACAAAACCAAAGAGAACAGTTGTGAGAAGAATGGTAGCAAAACAAGATGGGTAAAAAACACCAAATAATTAAATAAAAACAAAAGACAGAGAAAGATGATGGACATCATAGTCACCAAAATAAATGGTCACTGTTTCACAGGATGAAAAAGTAGACAAAGGCTTGGGGGAAAAAAACCACAGTAAATAGGATTAGTCAAATACTGCTCAACATACCATAAAGTTATTTTCATTAATATTAATTGAATTTCTTTATCAATACTATATATCTATGAAACATTTGAAGCTTTCCAGCATAAAGTCTCCTTATAGCAGAATCTGTCAAACCTTTCCTGTGACTTCTTCCTACTATTTGATTAGCCTCATAAATTAAATAAATATAAGCTCAAAACATCAAATATGGTCAGACTGCAAATTAAATTCTCTTAAATTACAGCAGACATACACAATAAGATAGGGGCACGACCTTTGTGTAACGAAGTACACTTTGTCCTTTCTAATAGGCTTATTCTAAAGGCTAGCAATTGCCACATGTTTTTTCAAGACCTGCAAGCTGACAAAAATAGCTGCTTACCTACTATCGGTGTCCAGACCTACAAAATCCTTCTTCTCAAAAGGAACACAGAGGAGCGGGATCTTGTCTCCAGACTTATCAGTGGCTCTGTCAAGCCGCTTAGACTCCAACACTATGAAAAGGGATTCGATAAAATCTTCTATTCTCTTCTCCACAGTTTCACATTCATCATAACTGGGATAAAACGCCACATCTGTGCGGGGCTGCTCTGCAATCTCTCCTTGAAGCCCAAAGACAAACAACCGGGAATCATAGAGAGTAGAACCATACATTTCTTTTTGAAGATGGAATTTTTCAAAAGTCTGAGGCCAGTCCTTTGCAGAAGAACAGTCTGTAATAGTTATGAGCCCCACAACTTTCCGGTGTGTCTGAAAATCCCCCCATTCATTGTTCTCTGGGGGATAATGGTGCCTGTAACGGATATACAACACACGCTGAGAGTCACGCACATTAACTTGACTCACTGCTGAAATTCGCTTGTAGATCCTGAAAAAGCTCTCTTCGGGTACAATGCCAATCGGCTGAACCACAACCAGAAGAGTCTGATGGTCCTCAGCACACTGCATGTAGTCAGGAACACTCATTTTGCATCAACTGCAGGCTAGTAAAAGAGAAATGTACATTATTTTTTTAACATTCAGAAGTACATATGGTTGCTGAATCAAACCAGGACTTTGATGCTAAACACTTCTGCATCCTGTATATACGTGCTACAATACTAATACTTTCCTTCATCGTTTTACTAAATCTTCAATCATGCAGCCTACTGACAAAGTTACACTGTGCACAAGGAGTGTTCTTAGTCACATATCAGTACGGCCACCAACAAAAACCTATAAATTAGGTTTTCTCAAGCGAATCAGTTTCCCATTCACTGTGCAGCTACAGAAGCCAACCTAACACGTGGGGCAGCAGAGAGTCTCTCTCTACCAGAGCCACAAAGTAAACGCCGGCCGAAGCACCACCTCGGAAGAGATGTCCTTTGAGGCTCTGGCTCTCGGGTCTGTCTCCACAACACGCCTTGGGGAAATACGAAAAATCGTGTGAGGTGGGATGTAAACCGACACCAGATCGGAATGACCAAACTTTACACAGTTATCAGTGCTCGCACATGGCCAGGCAGAGGAAAATCGGGTCCAGAATGCTTATTTTTGAGACAAAGTGAAGTCATTTCCTGAAAACGCATGCAGGTTCATCAGAAGGACCAGGCAATGTTTTCTGCCTTTATATTTAAATATTTAGAATTCCTTCTCCCCTGGGCTATCTAAAATTGTTTACGGTACTGCAGCTGTGCCTTAAATGAAGACACGCAGAGCTTAGCTAAACCCTCACATCTCCTGAGACCTCCCGGACCACACAGATCCCTTGGTAGATTTCGGCTCCAAAGCACCCTCTGAAACTTCCACACAGCCAAACCAAACAAAAAACCCAACCCCCCCTCAAAAAAAGCCCCGCAGCACAGCTTTACACTGACACTATCGGTTTTACCAAACAGAACGAAGAAAAAGAGTTGTGATCCCGGCAGCACAGGTGGGGGGAAAGCAGCCGTTCGAGGAGGGGCTCCCCCTGACTACCGACAGTGCGAAGACCCGGTAAATTCCATCCCCTCTCCCCCGCCCGCTGCCCGGCCCTCAGCCAGAAGCGCAGGCAGCGGCAGGGCAGCGCGCTGCCCCCGCTGCCCGTTCCCGCCGCTCCCGACTGGGCGGGAGGCCGCGTCCCGCCGCAGCGGGCGGGCAGGAAGGGATAAGGCGGGAGGGCTTCGCCCCGCGCGGCCGCTCCGTTTCCCTCTCCCCGGG